TTTAGGCTATTTGCACAGTCTGACGTCGTGCAAATATAAGTCCTAAATCTTAAATAATTTGCAGGATTGAAACATCAAATAATTATCTCTTCAAAGACATAAAGCCAAACAATAGGATAGTTAGGACATCTCTGGGGTTTCTCCTGGATCTGTGATGTCCCCTACTTTTCTTTCATTTGAATTCCTTAAATAATTGTTCATATTTTGAGCCATTCCCATTTGATTTTCCCATGTCCAATCGTGAAAACCTAAACTTTGAAATCTTGAAAACAAAACCACCTGATCTTAATCGAGAGTTTTCTTAAGTGATTTCGATCATTTAAGATGTAATTAACTATAGGGGCTTGCCTCTATAGGGAACCAGGAACCCAGATAAAATAAACCCTATCTAATTTTTTATGTTAGATAGGGGAACTTGTTGGCCTTTTTATAAAAATATTTCACAGACCAAACGGATGTCACAAATTCTTTAGTCTGGGTGATTGAATCCCTATTACAAGTGATACATTTATGTCTTTGGGATAAGTGTATTACCTGTAGTATCGTATTCACTCGTCTAAACTATTTAAAATATGAGACCCGTTTGGTCTCACCTATTTTAAATTAAAATGTTACTTCTTAAAAAAAAAAAGTTATATTTATATTTAAATTATTTTTTTTCAAAATCACAAAATCATCACCTTTTCAAACTACGAAAGTCAAGTTGAACATAAAAACGGCCGACATGACTGTTGATAATGACTCTTTTATCATATTGGGTTGACTACTTCCTTTGATTAAATAGAACAAGGTCCATGAAAACTCGGGATGACATAATCATGAAATCTTGATCGATTTTATCACCATTTCCCCCACCATCCGCTCTAGCTAAGAATGATGATTTTATAATTTCAAAATTTAAATTAGTTGTTATTATATGTTAAGTATGAATAACAAGCGCCTAATAACTAGTATTAATATATAGTGCTCTCCTATTATTCAGAGATGGTAATAAATCATACGGGCTTGTGTTTCATCTACCTTTAAAAGAATTGACATAAACCTGACGATAAATTCTCTTTATTTCTTTTCAAGGGAGGTCAGGGTGTTGAATTTTTGGATCCCACATGACATGGGGCTTGGTTCCACGGTATTCTGTGAAATCGAGGATCCCATTACAATTCCAAGCGGGATTCTGCGATTCAGCGGAATCGCGTTAAATCTCATAATCACAGGATGATGTTTCACATGGGATACCATCCCATTTTTAGTTTAGCAAAATTTCATACCATTTTTGTTTCTTTCATGTTTCTTTCTAATAAGGTTATTTCCTATTAGGGATGGTTTAGCTGACTTTTGATTTTTTTTTTTTTTTTGTAGAGATTGTATCTCTGATTTCTATACTAATAAGTGTTGTACCATTTTCCTTTTGCCAGTGATGTGTCATAGCTTGTGCAGGAACATGTGGTGAACCACCTCGACATTCGTATCACATCATTTCATGGGTCTCTTTGTTGTTTTCAGCCAGGATGGCCGACGTCGAATCTATTGTCCAACAACTGATTTCACCTCATACCCCCTTCCAAACGCCATCAGACTCAAATATATTATCATTCCCCCTCTATTTTACAACATTTTTCAAACTAAATCCCTTTCCTAAACACTTTCTAGAAGCCCTAGAACGGTGTCACCACAAGGCAAGCCTTCCAGTAAGGTATTAGTGATCATAAGTCCCTCTTTTATTCTTCAATTCCGATGATAGAAATGACTTCTTTTTTAAAATTTATGTCCTTACAACATCAAAGTCAATATATAACAAGCAAAAAAACATATATTCGATCATTTTCAATAAACCTCTTTGAAAGAGTCATATCTTTATTAGATTCCATTTGAAAGCATTGAGAATGATTGATCTCTTGCTATAGACTTTGTGAGATTGAGTTTCCTATGAAGAATCATCCACCTTACTTTATACATAAGATCTTGATCTTCACTTCATTAATTTATATTGCACCACAAACCTTCAAATACATTCAAGTTATCTCATATATATATATATATATATATATA